GTCAGATGCCGGGGTAAACCCATCGCTATCACAGGGAGGAGATCAAGAAGTCAAAGTGTGCATTCCCTTCTGGATGTGTTCCATCTGAGGTGGTTCTGTCACAGAACCAAGTGGAGATGAATAGGAAGGTAGATAAATGGGTTTGGAGGCCAGAGCAGTAAGAATCGGAATGATAAATTTGGGATATATTGATTAAAACGTTGGCAGCGGATTCAATCACGTAGGGGAAAGTTGTGGTGTGAAAGGAACTGAGACCTTTAAAATATGTCATTTGGAGGTCATCAAGAAGCAGATAAGCAAGCCACGGAGAGGGGAAAGCAGGAGAGCAGAGGACTGCTATCACCCAAAGGAGTGTGTGTGTAAAGGAGGAAGAGTGAATTTTGCTGCGAGATCGGTAAAATGAGGAAGGAGCGTGTCCTTTGGATTTAGTGATTGTGGGTGTTACTGGAGGCAGTTTCGGTGGAGTATGGAAACCAAGAAATGAATGGGAGTTGGGAGACTAGAAGAGTGGAGGGGGGCAGGCAGCTCTTTCAACAACTTCGGCCTTGGAGAGTGCGCAAGAGGCAGGGCGGCAGCCCGAAGGCGCGCGGAGTGCGGGGAGGCTGGGACGGAGTAAATGCTGATAATACAGAGTCAGCCAAGAGGCAGGGGTTGCTGTTAGAATAGACTCGGTGATACTGGGGGCATCCTGGGGATAGGTCGGAGTCCGCGCTGTAAGGAGTAGGTTGGTAGGTTTGGCGGGGAAAGTGGATACAGTTTCTCTTTTTCTTGAACCAGGAGGCAAAGTAATCTGAGAACAGGGGCCGCGGGGCGCGCAGGCAATCCAGCTGCGAGTGGAAGCTCAGGGCAAAGGGACTGTTGGTGAATGAAGATGGGTGGTAGGTCTCGCCACAGCAGGGGTCGTGGGTCAGCAGGAGAAGCGAAGACCCCGGGCCTTGGATGAGGATCTGCTAAAAACAAAAACAAAAGCGGCAGGGCCTTGGCTGGAAGACCGCAGCAGCAGTTCTGCTCTGAGAGGCAGAAAGTGAGGACACATTTGAAGTAACTCCTCCCAGAGTAAGAAGTCTGCAGAGTTCTGGTGGTTATGCTCCCGCTCCTGCTCCTGCAGGGGGGCTGCAGCTCCTCCGCGGAGCGCCACCGGCAGCGCGAGGAGCGCGAGACAGGGCACGGAAGGCCCCGCGCGGGCGGACAACCGCA